TCTTTCTGCATCTGGATTGCCTTGCTAAGGATGATTTTTTTTTTCTGGTTTCATCCACTTGCCTAAAAGTTTTCCTGATGTCATTTTTTCTAATACTTGAGTAATAATCTATTGTGAAATTTACCACATTTTCTTTTTTCATTCCTTGAAAGTCAATGTGATTTTTAGTTTAGAGAAAAATTTTCAAATGGGTAAGGAACCTATTTTTTTCAGAAATAAATATTTCCTTAGTGGTGAGATAAAGCTTACAGACTATAAAAACAGTTACTTTGTAGGAGTAAGGGAGTAATTTTATTTTACAGGTGAGAAAATTAAGGCCCAGGGAGATTTAAAAGCCAGTGATGTCTATCTCTAATTGCCTTAAAGAAGGAGGGGAGGGGGAAGAGGAGGAGAAGGAGGAGGAGGAGGAAAAACAAAACAAAACAAAAAATGGTTTCCTGAGCAAACTAAATGGCTCAGCCAGTAAAAGCCTTTGCTGCTTAGTCCTAATGGCCTTCATTTGATCCCTGAGATTCACACTGTAGAATGAGAGAAGAGATCCCCACAGGTTATCCTCTCACTTCCACATGTGCACTATGATCTATACACACATACACACACTAAATCAATTCATAGAATTTTCAAAATCAGTGTCTTCCTGGCTGGGGAGAATTGTTCTGCCTATGAAGTACTTGGCTTTTAAGCAGGAGGATGTGATTTGATCTCCAGAACGGTGCTAGAAATACCAGGCATGCTGGTATATGCTTGTAATCTAGGCAGAGGTATGGGTACTTGGTATTCACTGGTCAGTTAGCCTAGCCTAGTTGATGAGCTCCAAGCCAAAGAGACATTGACTCAAAAGGCATGGAAGACATTCTTGAAAATGATACCTGATATTGTCCTGTGTTCTCCACAGTCAAACACGCACATGCACACTAGTGCACACACACGCATGGCTTGCTAGTTAATGAAGCTGTGTTTATATGGAAGAGAGTTCTAATCTGACCTTATAGGTTCCCAGAAATGTAGAAGAGCTGTCGGGAGAAGCAACAGGAAAGGTCTTAGCTCAGGCTTTGTGTACTGTGGTTAATAACAACCAGATGAAAGGCTTCTGCGAGGATTTTAACAAATAAGCAATCTCTCCCCAATCTCTAACATGCATTTCTTCCTGGTGCCATTACTGCAGTATCCTAGGGACGACTGAAAATCAGCATTTCCAAATGAGAAGTGGGTGTCCTTTCCTGGCCAAACCAGCTCCCCCACCTGCCTCTGTATTAGCTGTCAAAATCCAGAATTATGACTTAGCATTATGACTGGCACGCCACTGTCCTTCATTCCTTGGGTTGGGATTTGTGACATTTGAAGATAAATCATCAGTGACCCCATGCTCACATCACCACACTGGTCAGGTTTTCTAGGTCACTTTTCCAGGTTTATTGAATACTCAGAGCTTTGAGGAAACTCCATTTAGTTCCCATGAATACCATAGTGTCAGAGCTTCAGCAAGGTGAGTTTTGAACTGACAATGTCTTCCATCCCACACTTGAGAAGGATCTTGTAAGCTCTGACCATTTCTGCTCCTTTATGGGTGTGCAGTATATTGCAATCATGGGTTCAATTATGTTGTTGCTAATTAAAGCCTCTGCCTCAATGCTTAGAATTATTAACAGTCACTCCTGGAATACTGTCCTGCCCATTACAATGAGGCTCATGTCATCTTTATTATTAATTATGTGGACCCTTTGTCATATTAGCCACTGTGGGGAGTGACTCTGTCAGGTACTCTGTTTCTGTTGGATATTGTGGAACGAGTGCTTGCATATGGTCCACTTCCTTCCTTTATGCAGGATGTTCTTTTCAGCATGGACCCCTGACCTTGTTGTATTAGAGCTTGTTTATAGGTTCAAGGAAAATCAACACCTCTGTGAATGTCCTAAGAGACTGTCTAGAAAACTCACACAGGTCACACTGACCACTCAATATCCTACACCTAGAGCATGCCATTGTATTTCCACTTCATCCCAGAGACCTTACATTTTCCAGTTATTGACATCTCTGCTGTAAGTGAAAGGAGTTATTGAAGGTAGAGTTTGATCACAGACACAGGCAAAGATAACGTCCTGCACATTCATCAAGCTATTCTTGAGCATCCACTATGTGGAGTACTACCAGAGTGAAAAGGACATTTTCCCAGCCTCAAGAAGTTTCAGTCAAATGCACAGGACAGACATGGAAATTTAAATACAGTGTGTTATTTTGCTGTGTGTGGGAGAAATGAGTTAGCTCACTTCAGGAACTTTAGTCTAGCCTGAGGCTGAGAGGAGGTGCCTCTTTATGTGACAGTGGCTTTCAAGGTGGACAAAGTACAAAGAAAAGGAAAATTGGAGCAGTAGAAACCATGCAGGTCTTGGAATGAGCTGATTATAATAAATGTATTTGCTTCCTATTCCTCACATTCTTTCCCCCAACAATTCTTCTATTATTTCCTGGGGTTTTCTTTCTAAATACAAACTCATTCACATGCCACTTTTACATTTAATTGAACACTTGGACTTAATTGATTGTGAATTAAGTTGGGGACTTGGGGTGACATTCAGGACTGCGCTCATGTGGAGATTAATTTATTCCTGTAGTCTCTTAGTTTTGCAGTGCATCCAAGTGTCTCACATCTGTGTTAAAAATAAAACTCAGAGTCAGGGCAATCTAATTAGAGGGCTTAACCCAACACTGTGGCTCTCAGTCTTAGCCAAGCTCTCCGGCTTTGATTCTTACCAAAATAGATGGATAAGTTAATCAAAGGTCTGATTAAATAGCACAGCTACGCAGTGTGGAGTTGTGATTTCCAGGCTTTGATTCAGCCAGATTCTCTGGGGAGGATAGGAATGGAGCTGAGTTCCAAAGGCCAGGACTTAGTCAAGGAAGAGTTTTATAAAGTACATTGGAAGGAATTGTTTACTAAGGTCTTAGATCTTGAGGTGTGGGGCACCTGGGAAGTAAACTCAGGGAATGATGGGGTAGGGTAGGTTATGATAATCAAAACTCAGACCCAAACTCAGGAAAAAAACAAATAAACAAAACACTAGAACCATCATCTGGCAAATGCTTGGTTTCAGTGAATTATGTGTTGTGAAATATGTGTGATTGCATTTGGAAGCCAGATGTTGGTATGAGCTGTCTTCCTCAATTGCTCTCCACCTTAGTTTTTCTGAGCTGGGAACTCATCAATTCAGTTTGGCTGACTGGTCAGTGAGGTCCCACGATTCATTTATTTCTGTGCTTCCCTCTTTCCAGACCTGGAGTTTCAGAAGTGTGCCTTTTATGTGGCTTATTATAGTCCAAACTCTGGGCCTCCTGACTGCTCAACAAATACTTTACGCTGAGCTATCTTCCCTGCTCATTCTCCAGCAATTCTAACTACAGGTTTACATGATGCCAGCTGTAGAGTGGGGTTGGGGGTTAGGTGGTTACTTTTCTCCTTTACTGCCCTCCATTCACCTAACCCAACTTTGAATTTTGCCCCTATGATCTGTAAGGTATTATGCTTTATTCTGACCAGGGTTTAATTTCTGCCACTGGTCAATATGGCTATGCCTGCTATTCCCTTCCCTTGTTTTCCACACACTTGTCCCGTTTTACTTTCCTAGTTTCTGCAATTTCTCCAGGTTATATAGGCACCTAGCTCCCTGAACACTTGGAGCTAGGAGCCTCATGTCAAAGAACATGGTACATTTGTATTTTTTTCCTGGGTTTGGGTTACTTACTTAGTATATGTTTTCCAAATTTTGTCATTTTATGTTCTTTATATGTACCACATTTTCATTAACCATCTGTCAGCTGAAGGGCTTTTAGGTTATTTCAATTTCCTAGCTATTGTGAATAGAGCAGCAATGAGATAAGGCTCTCCTGTTGTAGCACACATTGGCCTTGATCTATCAGCCTCACGGGTTCTATGATTATATTTAAGAGCCACCTACACCCAACTCTTCCTTACTTCTTTGAATACAAGTGTCTACTAAGTGTTGTTTTAAGGACAAAAGAGATGAGTATTTAGAATTAGTATTTAGAATTCTGAGGTGGTGACTCCAACTTCATCAGAAGGTGTATGCTAAGTATTAATCTGTTGGATTAAAATGTGGATCATGAGTTCTGTGCAATCCCTCCATACTCATGACTCATGCCTTTTTTACTACAATGGTCTTCACAAATGATATACATAGATGAGGATTGTTATCACAGTGATGCTATGTATAGTCCTTAGCATTTTGATAGCATGTGCTTGTGGCTGATGCATTTATAGGATATTGGTTGTTCCTTGCATGTAAGCCCTGTAGCTCTGAGGTTTTTCATGTACGTCTAGCCTCCATTACTGTCAGATGACCAGCATTATATAGATTCTGACAGGGTCCTCATTTCCATGAGGATGAGGAGGAAACACTGGTACCAACTGACTCTATTATAACTTTAAAGTAGATATAAGCATAAGTATTAGGAATACCATGAGGTGTAGTGATCCTTAATGGCACATTATTTTAATGAATTAAAGAAATAATTCTACTTATAAACAATGAGGTGCTAGGTTTTTGTTTTTGTTGTTGTTGTTGTTGTTGTTGTTGCTGTTTTCACATACTTGTTTTCTTCACTGGACCCATATAATTTCTCTAATAATAAAAAAGTATTTTCAAGATCTCAGCATAGAATTTATATTTAATAATTATTTCACAACTAGTATTTTATAACTGTTTTGATTCAAATACATTTTTATTCCCAGAAAAACTTGATGTGGCAAAGTGAAATGAATAAATCTTTAAAGAAAATTCACTTATTTATTTAACAAGTTTGTACAATTGGATATTATTTCTATCTCAGCATGGTTTACAATGTTTAAGCAATGAATCAATGTGGTGATTTTTTCCCTTTTTCTTATTTTACCAACTCTCTCTCTCACTCTTCCTCCCTTTTCCCTCCCTCCCTCCTTCCTTCTCTCCTTCCCTCCCTCTTTCTCTCTATTCGGTCCTGTATAGTCTGAAGTATCCTGGATTCCCAACAAACACTACTCTGGGATTTATGGCCTGATGAAGTTGGTTCTGACCAAGACTCTACCTGCCAACCTGGAGAGAGTGATTGTCCTAGACACTGACATTACCTTTGCAACTGACATTGCAGAGCTGTGGGCCGTGTTCCATAAGTTCAAAGGTAGGAGTTAACAAGACAACCATACTGATTTTTAAAGGAATTTTACTTTGTGACTTTGTGTGTGTGTGTGTGTGTGTGTGTGTGTGTGTGTGTGTGTGTGTGTGTGTGTGTGCGCGCGCGCGCGCAGTTGTGCGAGTGTATACACAGATGCACATAATCATAGTACAAATTTTGAGATCTGTTCTCTCCTTTAACTTTTAATGGCAGGGGTTGACCTCAGATGTCCAGGCTTGCAAGTCAAGCATTTTAACTCACTGAGCCATCTTCTCAGCCAGTGTTTGTTTGCTTTTAATGTTGACCTCTGGGTTGAAATTAAGGCCTAGTATGTGCCAGGCAAGCATGCTACCACTGAGTGATAAGCCAGATATGAGCTTAAGCATAGTGTCAATAAGAAATCACAAACATGAAAGTCAGCTCTTCTATAATTTCAAACTAGTTAAATAAAACTGAATATTGCATTTTTTTAGGAATTGAAGAGATTGGATGCATGCTCATAGGAAAACCAAGTTTAGGAGACTTTGTAATCAGCAATTAATTATTTATGTATATTTTTATGCAGATGATCAAATGCTGATATACCTTTTTGTATGTATATTTTAAATTTTATTTTTGCCTTTCATTGAAAAATTATCATGATTTTCTTTTTTTCTCATATAATATATTCTGATTGCAGTTTCCCCTCCTTCTGCTCCTACCAATTCCTTCCCACCTGCCCTTTCATCCACCCCCTTACCATCTCTATTAGAAAGCAAACAGGCTTCTAAGTGATAATAATGAAATAAATATAACACAACAAGATAAAGCAAAAACTAACACATTTGAATAGGACAGAACAAATGTGTAGAAGGAAAAGAGCACAAGAAAAGGCTCAAGAAACAGAGATGCAGAGACCCAATTGTTCACACACTCAGGAATTTCATACAAATACAAAACTGGACGCCATAATAAATAAAATAAAAAATATAAAAATAATCAAACAAATAAATAACAGCCCTGATACAACATTATGAGAAAAGAAACCTCCATTGAGTTTGTTTTCTGTTGGCCATCTAGTGCTGGGTATGAGGCCTACCCTTAAGAGTAGTTTGTTTCCCCATCGAGATTCCCTTTAAGAAAACAAAACTTTCAGTTGCAAGTGTGTATCCATTGGAGATAGTGGCTGGGATAGGGGTGGATTGGATAGGGCAGGTGTCTACTTCACCTTCCAGCTCAAGGACTCCATCAGTTGCAGGCCCTGTGCAGGCTGTGTGCATGATGCCATAGCCTCTGTGAGTTCATATGTGAGTCCATCCTGTTGATTTAGAGGCCTTTTTCATTGGTGTCCTCCCTCTGTCTCCTCTGGCTCTCACATTCTTTCTCCCTCCTCTTCTGCAGGGTTCTCTGAGCACTGGGATTTGATGGAGATATCCCATTTAGGGCTGAGTGTGTCAAGATTTCTGCATATTTGGGTCCCTATTTGTTCCCATCTGCTGCAGAAGAAAGTTTCTCTGATGATATCAGAGAAAGGCACTGTCAGTGGAAGGGGATGTCCCCAGGAATCATTGTGTTATGTTCTTTAAATAGAACAGCAGTATTTGATTTTACCCTCAGTCTCTGGGCTGTCTAGTCTAGCATCAGGTAAGGGTTCCTTCTTGTGGAGTGGACCTTAAGTCAAACCAGATATAGATTAGATTGGTTTTCCCCACAAGCTCTGTGCCACCATCACACTAATTTATTTGAAGTCAGGACACCATTGTAGATCAAAGGGTTTGTAGCCAGGCTGGTGTTTACATTTCTCATTGGGTAGTTTGCAGAGTACTTTCATTAGTTAATTAGTTCATCAGGGTGATGGTTCTATTTTCTGCAGTAGCTCCATGTGTAAGTGTTCAGTAGGGTCTAGCTGTCAGTTTGGGAAGAGCAACCTATAGTCTTGACCACAGCCTGGTTTGTGTGGGTGATCCCATGGAGCCCCTTTTGCCAACATCACATTTAGATGTAACCTGTACCTGGTACTGGATGCTTCATTTGTTGAGAAGATATGGCTAATTAGGGCTCTGTCTTTCCCATTCTTTTGCTTCATGTATTTCAGGATGCTGCTTCTTTTTTGGCTTTCCATACTCCCCTTCAAATGACCTTTTATTTTTACTGTATCTTTGTATTCTCTCCCTTGTCCCCCTTTTTCCACCCCACTCAATCTTCCCATTTCAGTTCCCAAGTGTTGATATACTTATGTAGAGATGTGCATTTACCATGCTTCCTCTTCCTCCTCCTCCTCTTAAACAAATGATGCCTTGATTGCTGAGAAAGCCTGGGAGACAGAAGAAAAGACTATTGGTTCTTGAATGTTTGAAATGTTCTATTGCTTTCGCTGTCACTAGTACTATGCATTATTATTTTAAGCATGTACGTATGGCTGAATATCTAGCATTGCTCTTCTAGTCTTGTTAATTTTTTTAATCACGTTCATAAATGTGTGAGAGGTACATACACATGAGTGTGCACACATGGAGTTCACAGCAGGACATCGGGCATTTTCTATCATTTTCTACTTTATTGTCTTGAAAAGGGGTCCTTTTTTGAACATGAAGCCTGCTTTTTCTGTTAGGATATGTGGACAATGAGCTCACACCATCTGTCTCTCTGCCTCTCAATGCTGGAGTATGTGCATTTATGCCTGGCTTTTTAAGTAGGTGCTGGGGATTCAAATGTAAGTCCTCTTTCTTACAGAGTGTGTGCTCTTACCCACTGAGCCATTTTCCCAGAAGCTCTTCTTAAATATTATTTGACCCATCATCACTACTTCAAAGTATATGAGACTGTCTAAGGTAAACTCATGGGCCTGATTTGTATATTTGAGTGTGCGTACATGAGAGAAATATCAAGTTAACACAGATGTTAGACTATTTTAATAACACCTGCCCAGTGGTCTTCCTTTCCTGTGGTTTTTAAAGTTCTACCACACTTTGGCCAAATTCAATGGGAGAGAGATTTGGTAGTGAGGCTGCTATGTTGTTTTGTTTTGTTCTATTCCTTTTTGAATTATACTGTCTTCTCTTTTTTAAATCTCTGTCTCTCCTCTTTGTTGTTTGCAGGGGGAAATAGCATTCCGTAAGCTTAGATCATGGTATTCTCATTAAACTTAGGATATTCCTATTCATTTCTCTTTCCTCTCGTGACAGAGAGTAAATTCCTTCTCCACCCTGTTCATTGACTGCTCCCTCTGGGAGCTTCATAGTTCTCTGTTAATTGAAAAAAATACTAGGCAAAGCATGAGGATGACAAGTAGTAACCTCTGGGATGCTTCTTTATCAAGATGAAAATTTATTTATGTGAGTCAGTAATGACACTAAGGAAGAGATCATTTGACAGATCTAGGAAAACAGAAAACAAGTATATCTCTCCTTCCTCTATTTCTCAGCCTGCCAGGATCCATCTTTCTACTTCCTGAATAAGCTTGCATGGGTACAGGGTTTTGCTCAAGACCAAACAGGTATGTTCCTTGGCTCCTGTCTGCTGCTCTTTTCAAATTCCACTGTAATTTTCATTTGTTCCTCCTTTCAAAGCCACATTCAACTCATCTGGGGACAGTTTGTCTTTAATTGTGTGTGATTTGATCTGTTCTTTTATGCTGATGTTCAGTACTTAATTGTGCATTTATTCTGCAGGCATTATTGCATCCCTACTGGGTGCCGGGCAGTGTGCCCAGCCCTGGAAATAAGATAGTGAGTAATAAAGGGACAATGAGAGTTGTCATCTGTCCTGGTGGAAAGAAGAGCCGTCAGCTAAAGAGTCTTGCAGGAAAATGGTGGCTGTGCTGTGTTAGCAGATAAGGGGAATGTTTGTGTGCCACATTAGTCCACTACCCATCTTTTGGAAGAGAAAACTTAAGGCTTCCATATCTTTGACTCTGTTTATATAGAGAGACAGGCATCAGTTTTCTCTGAGGAAATTGAAGAGATTCCTGTTGCCTCTGGCCAGATGCCATCCTTGAGTTGTATTTGTCCTGAATTAACTGAAAGAAGAGGAGATCCATTGGAGTACTTCATGGAGACTGCCTCAGACATGGTCTCCAGTCTTACCTTCTGCCCCTCCTTTTCTGTGGCTTCACTGACAAATCTGTGCTGTGCTACCACCTCCCATCTAACCCTCCCAAGAACATACCCTATTCCCACATCAGGAGCTCAGAATCTCCCTCATAGAAGTTAATCTCAGAAAATACACTGGAGCAAGAGTCCTCCAACAACAGAGCTGTAGCTGAAATCTTACAATTACTGTGTTTCAGCTATCGTGTTGCTTAATCACAGCACTGTAGCCAAGCATTCTGGAAGGGAAGAAAGTCCTTGGGGCTCAGAATGGAGAGAGAATCCTGGACCTGAGCACAGAGTACTTGGTCAAGGTCAGGACAGGGACTGAGGAATACCCTTTAATCTAGCTGAATTTTTATTCATTCTTTTATTAGTTTATTTTCAATATTACTTGGTCCCCTCCTGTTAAAAGGAATATATTAGATGCCACTATTTCCTAAAGTAGTGCTTCTCAATCTTCCTAATGCTGCAACCCTTTAATACAGTCCCTCATGTTATAGTGACCCCCAACCATAAAATTATCTTCTTTGCTACTACATAACTGTAGTCTGCTACTGTTATGAATCAAAAATATCAGATATACAGGATATCTGATATGTGACCCCTTTGAAAGGGTTTGCGACCCATAGGTTGAGAACCACTGTCCTAAAGCAACCCAAAACAAGGCAACTGCCTTCAGAGAGATCCTACAGACTGCACTATATCTTTGTCTATTGTTTGCAAGGAATTTAAAATGTTAGATTTTCCCCATGACCCCCTCCCATTTTTTTTCTGTGAAAATAAAGAGCTAAAAATAAAATAGATAAGCTCCTCTGTTCCTCATATATCAATGTTTTTGAACATTTTTGTCTTTTAAACTGAAACTAAGGAAGGTTCTGAGCATGACAATATCTTCATAGGGCACACTCAAGAACGAAGAATGTTCTGATCCATGCT